CTGGGGAATTCTGGGAGTCGAAGTCCACACATCTTCAAGTCGCCAAGGTTGAGGAACCCTGCCCTAGATTGCTATAATTTTTCCTGGACCTCCAATTTTAGATTTCTGCAGACTGGGATTTCTACTTTCCTGGCTCTAATTCTTCCACCTGTGAGAATAAAAAGCACAGAAGACAGACAAAATGAGATTGCCTCTTTTTAAAAGCCCATCTGAAAGGGGAATCTTCCCACTCCCAACTGGCTCTTTAGAGCTTGATTTTTCTCAAGTTTTTATTGTCTCTACCTACTACCTAGATGGATAGATTAGATTTGACAGCTGGGATATAGATTTTCCTTTAACTGTTTCACATCTGAACCTTTGAGGATGAGATTTCTTCCCATTCACTATAAGTCTGCATAATAAAATCTAAACATACATGGCTCTTGAATAAAAAAGCTTTTCTTCAACACATTTTCAATTAAGTTTTTAAATTTTCACCTGTACATTAAGGTGATTAAAGAATTTTTTTTAAATCTGAAGAACATTTTTAGGAACATTTTTATTTACTGATCCTTTACATTAATCCAAAGTAAAAATACTTTATTTTGATCATTAACCAGACTTTCATAACATAAAAAATAAATGAAAAAAAATTGAATACAGCACAGCACAGATGAAACTTTCTTAGTTCAGGCTTCAGGGAAAAGACCATCAATAAATCATAATTATAGCTAGAAACAGATAAAGAGAAGAGTTAACAGCTTATTTATATCACTAAATTTTGAATCTTTTGGTATTTGCCTGATACCTGATTATCAAATAATACAGTAGTGCAAGATCCATGTGGAAGACAGTATACACAACTACCAGAACAATCAATTTGAAATGTTGGATGGGGGGGGGAGCTGAATTCCAATCTGGGTGAAAGTTAGGAATGTTTTATTTCAAAAGCAGCATTACTGCTTTAAGAGAATATTTTTCTAAGTTAACCATCTCAAAGGCTAGGAGGTCATTCTTCTAATACAAATCAGCTGTGTTCCTCCAACAAAAAATCTAAGTGCTCTGCAGTTGGTTTTTATTATCCTTTCGACTCTTTTTATGGGGTGACTTTTTTATACAGTTATTTTTAAGTGACCGAATATCTTATTGTTTGCATGTATTACATCACTGTGCTAATCTTGTACACAACAGAAAATGACTTGGCTAAAACCTCCTGCATTGGATCAGGAAATCCATGGCTAGAGTTATAGGGAGCTTTAGTGCCAAGTGATCTTCATTCAGCGAGTCTAGTTAAAAATAGAATATTGTGAAATAACTGCAACTTGAAAATGGAACAGTTGCATTATTAAGCTTACTGAATCAAGAGCAAGATCATATTTTACCCTCCTTGGTCAGGACAAGTCATCCCCAGACAAAACCACCTTAGCAGAGATCCCTATTTTTCATGAATCAAGTGATGATATAGATGAAATAGACATTCACAATTTGATCCTTGGAAAAGAACCATCAGCCTTTTTCTTTCACCTTACCTTCTGCCAGAATATAAAGGTTGCTTAATAGCCCAATTAATATTTTATACCCATGAGTTTCAAAGAAAAAAAACAAAACAAAACTGGAATGGAATGGAATGGAATGGAAAAAACCAAAATTATACCACTTTCTCTTTTCCCCTTGATATTTACAATGACCACCTTCAAAAATACAGCCCTAAAGGTCATTTCCCTTATAGTTCAAATCTCCTCCCTCAAAACAAAAGTGACCTGTGTTATTTGCACAAATGTTGTAGTAAAGTGAAAGCAGACAATAAACATAAGCCAAGAGACAGAATAGTATCCAATTTACATTTATCAAATTGCTGAACTTAGTGCCCATGCTACAAATTTCAATCTGTTCAGTGAATGTTTATTCAGGTTAGTAAACAAGCAGAATTACTTGAAACCACTTGAGAGAAAATTACAACACAGTGAAAGAGAAGGAGCATCACCCCGTTTTTGTCTCCCCTCTGGCCCCTTGCCTTACCTTTCAGTCCCTTTCTCCTGAGTAACATGGTACTGCAAAGGCGTCAGCCGCTTTCTCAGTTCTTCCTGGGAAAAGACCACTTTATAGTTCTTTTTTTCCCTACGTGACCCTGCAGAAGGATAGAATATGGAAGAAGGCATCTTTTCAATTTAAAATCCTGAATCATTGCTTTGGGTGCTTAACCAAAGCATAGCTTCTACCGTACATTCACTTTTCCAATGGCTAGACTGCATCCTATGCATTAGAGAGGCTCAGCGGATCGTTCTTTCAAATCCAACTTTCAGAAGGCCGTTGTACACAAGCAGGTGACTCCACGTGAAGAGAATGTGAGGCAGCCAAAGCTTTCACTATGCAGAAAAGTCACACACATTTGTGAGGTCTGACAGTTATATTATCCTTTGCAAGAAAGTAGAATCCAGAGCCAAATTTTGTGTTCCTCAGGATTCTCAATAAATACATTTTAGGATTACAACCCTACAAGACATCTGTAAATAGGTAAAAGGTAAAGGGCATATTACGTTTAACCAGAAGTTGGGATAATTAGAAAATCTTGCCAACGATTAATTTTTTGTTAATTTTGAAGCATGTTTTAAAATTGTCTTGCACTTTAAAAAGTATAGCTCCTGAAAAGACCATGGTATTATTCAGATACTTATTTTTCTTAGAAACCACATCTACCTAGTGCACAGGTTTTTTCAGGCTGGGGGATTTTGATCTGAGTGTTGTGGCTGTGAGTCATGCTTCAAAACGTAGACTATGTGAAGACAAAGAACTCATTTCAATTAAATTTAAGAAGTATTAACTGTATCTAACTTAATTACACCCTATGTCTTCAATAATTTTCTTCTTCTGTCAGATTAAGAATCACAGCTCAGTAGCAATGCTTGGAAAAGAGCTGGGATCTTACCAAGTCTTTTGGCCCCAGGACTCAAATTACACAGCTCTACTGTAAAGGACAAGGAGATAGTATCTCCCTGAGTCATCAGGGAACAATTTCAGGTTTCTGACATGAAAGTGAATTTAGCAGATTAAAGGCTATGCACCACTGAAATTTGTGGGATGTCCTAAGCAGGAACATTCTCTTGACCAAGAAGATACGTGTAAGCAGCATGAGAAAATACCTATAACCAGCTGTAAAAAAATATTTTAGAAGATTTATTTATTTATTTGGCCGCCCAACTCAGACCATGTGATCATGGGCGGCGTACAACATAAACACACAGTAAATCACAAAAGAGAAGAAAAACAAAGAAAACTATCTAACAACAAACAAGCAATATATAAATACAAAATGTAAAATGGCAACCAAGCACACAACAAAACCACCTCAGGTAACACTAGCTGCAACATCAGTCTGACTTCTGTAATATGCATTGCAACCACAGAACAGTTTGTCTGAAAATTTGTAACTCACTAGTACTTTACATGATCTTGGAGGGTACCAAGCATCTCACTGCAGGAAAGTATACATGCGTGCATGGATACATCCCAGTTTTGTGCCATAAGGTACTCAAAGGACTATTAAGTTACACAGAAATTATGGAATTAAGCTCTGTAATTACTAGGCCAAGATGTAGGCTGTGACTCCAACTTTGGTGGTTATATATTAACCTCAGAATCAGAAAGTATGCTTCTTAATATCAGTGACTGCAAAAGAACAGGAGAGCGGTGCTGTTCATGCCCTCCTTGTGGTTTTCTCACAGGATTATTGAAAAAAATGCTGGCTAGAAGTAGGCCTTTGTTCCAGTTCTGATCCAGCATGATTCTTATGTTCTTATTTATGGTTAAGATAAAAAGATCTCACACAAATCATGAATACATACACTGACTTTTCTATATCCGAAGGATTATCTGACGCTTGAAAGAGATGGAGGCTGAAAACCTATTGCCATTTACTTGGGAGTAAACTCAGTTCAACATGGTGAAACTTACTCCTGAGTATGTAGAGGCTTGTAATAAAAGAAAATCATCTTATATTAATGGCTTAACTAAGAAACAGCTTTGCAAATATAAACAATTTAGTTGGAACCTCTTATTTGTATTTTATATAAACCCAGGTAGCAATATAAAGGAATAATTTATGAAGAGATGCAAAAATTTTATTCAAGTTAATATTCAAGTCTCAGAAGGTGGCTGACTGTATCTAGCTTAACCTAAACAGAGCTGGTTAAGTTGGTTGGTCGGTTGGTCCTTGGATGGGAGAATTCTAGGGCTGTAGGCTACCTGGGAAAAAAATCTGGAAAAACTATTCTGGAAAAGGAAATGGCAAATCATTTATGTGCTTTTGCCAAAATGTGTTTCATGTGTCCACCAGGATTTCAGCTAGACCTGGGAGCATTTTTAGCTTTTTCAAAAGAAATGAGAAAATGAGAAACCACTACTTTAATGGAAGCATTTAACTAAAAGCATTACTTTTGGGAAAGATTAGGGTTTTTTCCCATTGTCCTTATTAACTATTTCCTTTTTTTCTCTCTAGAAGACCACAATAAACAGCATGTATTACAGATTTAATAGATTTTTTTATTTATTAGGACTCTATATAATTTATTTATATGATAAAACAAATAAATTTTGTCTACGTTAGTGACAAAAACCATGAAAATCAGGATGGTAGGATAAGGGGATATTTTGGAAGTTCAGGAAGAGTCAACAATGTGAGAAAGCCTTTTTTTTTGTTTTCATCTCAGCTCAAGGGTTATTAGGAAATAGATGCATCCATACAAACATGCAGATTCTGGGCTGGCAGAAATGGCACCTCTCATGAAATCTCTGGCTGTTTCCCTCTGGTGACAGATACAGCTGGGAGCTGAACATTATGAGGCCATCTAAACTAGCCTGCAGGAGACATTATTATCCCACCAGCACTATAAAAGGATGATTCAATTGCCAAATTCAGTTGGCTTCTCAATATGGAGCGGGGAAAGGGGTAGATTCTTACTCTTTACCACAAGCAGTAAATGTCTTGGGTTAACCATAGCTGTCTTGCGGTTCGCTAAGACAGACTTCATGGGTCCAATTGAAATAAATATAATTTATGTAGTATATTAAAAGAATAAATATCTGGACTGAATTTCAGTGCATAAAAAACCAAATAAAACATCCTCAGAAAATCAATAGCAATCAATGAATTTGAAATCTTGGCATTAGTACATCTGCCATGACTCTGAAAACAGAACTATTACACTAATTCATTTCCTCAGCTCTACTTGGACTGAATGTTGCAAAACGCTATAGATGGAGCTGCTTTGAAGACTACCCAGAAGCTGAAAAATGCAGTGGCATGGTTGTTAGTTGGCACTCACTGACATAATAACATAACACATATTACAGTATGTTCCTGGGTGCATTTCAAAATACTGGCTTTAATTTATTAAGCCTTTTGTGGCTTGACACTGAGGGACCACTATTTCCAACAAATCAATATATGTGGGATGTTTCTCCTGGGAGAAACTGATGGTAGGTCCCCATTTTCATGAGATGAGGGAGTCTGAAGCCAAGAAAAATCGTTTCTTGGTTGTAGCATCAGTTATTTGGAACAGCCTCCCCTAGATATTAGGTCAGCCTCTTCTCTGATTCTCTCTCAGGTGGTGGGTGAAATAGCTCTTCTGGAGACATCAACTTCCTGTGATTTTGCATATCTTGTTATTGCTTCATGTAGTTTATTTATATTATTTCTATATTTTAATTTTACCATTTCTATTTTACTGAATTATGATTATTGTTTATAATCACCAAAAGTTTGCTTAAATTTGATGGCATACAAATCAAATCAATTTGGGGCAAATATTGTGAAGGCTACAATACAGGTACAAAACTGGGGCAAAATTGCTGGATATAAGGGCAATGAATGTGATAGTCACAAATTCAGAAAATTCAGCTAAGAAATTAGGGACTGAAATAAGAGATTAAGAATTCTAGTGCTTAGTAAAATGTATATTGGTTTTAAAGAGGAGTTAAAACAAAATGGAATGTAGATACTTAAGAACAAGTGTAACTATCCTTAATACTATAAAAATATCAACATTTCTAGAAAAAGCCAAACAATTCTTCTAGAAATATCACAATTAAACATGAGAATGATTTTTAAAAACATATTTTTATCCAATGGAACTGATAAAGGAATATAAAGTGAGTTGCTACAAGAAACTATTGATGCTCACAATTTGATTAGAGTCTTTTAAAAGTTTATTAATTACATATTTACTATGTAATATAATATGGAGAGATTTAATGTTGTGAAACATCTATCAACAGATAGATTACGAGAATCTGAAGGAAACTTATCAAGTAGACTCCTGATAAGTAACAATTTAAAGATCATATATGCAAGGAGGTGAGAGTAATATCCATTCCTCTGCTCTGTTTCCTCTCCAAGGCACAATAATCTGCATTTTTGAAATCCACTTAAAAATCAAGCAGCAAATAGATCAGGCATATTGTATACAGAAGGATTATACATATCTGCTCCTCAGCAGAATATTTTAGGGATGAGCTCTTTCATTTATCTCCAAACATAATGAAAAGAACTAATAGAATGTGAAATTGAAATACTCTATTTTATGCAGCACTCTAGCTGAAATGGAAAAAGACAATATGATTTGGAGAATGAACCAGTTACTATTAACTGATATATAAAAATGAATGCCAACATAGTTTTAAAGTAATATTTATAGTGTACAGGAAGCTATTAAGATACTGGATGAGAATTTTAATATAAATATTTCTAAAAATATTGAAAAATTAATGGAGGCAGCAGTATAGCTAAAAAAAATGTAGAAATATTTTCATTCTGCAAAAGTTATTTGTTCTTCATTTTTCAAAAGTGTTCAACAGTATTGCATTGGCTAAAATGTGAATGTTAGATGAATTCACTAATCATGTGGCTTGTGAACAAATACTCTTATTAAACTTTATCTTTTAAGGTTGCAATTCTTTGCATATTACCTGAGAAATAACCCTCTTTGAATTCAGGGAGATGACTTCTTAAGATTGCTCTTTAACTTTAGGCATTACTGCCTCTCATTATTTGACAAAATAACAAAATATAGGCTAGTCTGACCAGGCAGCAAGAGTTATAGCTCTAGAGTTACAAATGTAAACAGATACAGA